CTCTGGATGCCAGCCCCGGAGGCTCTAATTCAGCTGAATGACGTCTAAAACGCTGTGACTCTAACTGGCTCAAGTCATGCCAAAGCTGCTGGTCCAAAGAGCACATTGGAAAGGTGAAGCCCCACCTCTACAGTGCTGGTTCTCAGCTTTGACTGCACATTAGATGTATGGAGGGTACATGTTAAGAATATTAATACCTCATGTCCAAAAGCAGAGAAATTGATAAAGGCTATACAACTGAATGTTTTCAACCATAAATAAGAATACTTTATAGTTTGCAGGCAGATGAATGTTAGGCAGATTAAGCCTGTCTCAGAAAGACAAATACCATATTTTCTCTCATCTGTGGTTCATAGATTTGAAATATACATCTATGACCTAAAATAGAATCGAAAACTCTAGGTGATCAAAGGGGACTAACATGAATGGAGTAAGGAGGTTTTGCAGGGGAAGAGTGGCCAGCATACAAATATAGTTTTGAATGGAGATGTCCTTATGTAATGGTACCATGTGCACTGCATAAAGACAAACCGTTGTTAAAGAAATCTCCAAGAGCAACAGCCCAAAGAGAAAAAAAAAAAGAACTAGAAGATTAAAACAAAACAAAAAGAAAACACCCTTATGAAATATGACATGATGTATAATAAATATGTGCTACAAAAAAGAATTTAAAGGACGAAAAGAATACTGATCCCTGAGCTTTTCCCCAAAACAATGAAATCCGTATGTAGTCCAAACTGGCCTTGAACTCACAGCTAGTCTGTTGCATCAGCCTTTCAAGTACTGGGATTACAGGCATAAGCCTCCAAGCCCAGCTCCCTTCTAATGTTTTTAAATGAGTATGGACTGTCCTGTGTAGTGTGTGCATTTCCGTATACAATGTTGTTTTGACATCTCGATTAACCTTCTGGCTAAAGATTCTGCCCCTTCCCCCAGGGCTAGTCAATTCTTAGAGAGAGCAAGGGCTGAGCCCAAAGCTATACGTTAGCCAGCTTCCATCACTGAACCATGATAAACATGATAAACTCAGATAAACAACTTGGAAGTTTGTTTTGGCTCATATTCCTGGACCACAATCATTTAGCCCATTGCTTTAGGGCTGGTAGCAAGTCAAATCATCAGGACAAGGGAACGGAGGGTGGAGAAAAAGCTTATCACCTCATGATAAACAGGAAGTAAAGAGAGGCAAAGGAAAGGAGCAGGATCCCAATATCCCTTTCAATAATCTAACTTCCTTCCACGAGATCAGCGGGTCTCAAACTGGGTCTCAATCCCTTTCATAAGGGTCACATATCAGATTCGTAACAGTAGCAAAATCAGAGTTATGAAGTAGCAACGGAAATAATTTTTATGGTTGGGGGTCACCACAACATGAGGAACTAACTATACTCAAAGGTTGAAGCATTAGGAAGGTTGAGAACCACTGCACTAGACCCTACCACCTAAGAGCTCCATTACCTCCCGATGGTGCCACAGGCTAAGAACAAGCTTTTGACACTTGGGCCTTCAGGGACGTTTCCAGATCTAAATAACATCTCTGGAGAATAAAACAACCATTTTAGATCATACTTCCTGTAACTTCCATGAATACCCAGAAAGGCAATATTCTCCTACCTTTAGCATCCCAGGGTCAGGCAGCAGCCAACTAGAGACGACCCCTATAGCTCAAAGCCTGCCAAAACTGCTCAAAGGAGTCAATCATAAACTGTTGTCCCTTCCCTGCCTTTCTTGAGGAAAACCCAATAAAGAACACTGCCCAAACCTTTCCCTTACATCTGCCTTCTGCCTCCCGATTATTCTGGTGTCTTCCCTATATAGACTGTGGCATACCTCCTACTCTAGCACTGTGAATGTATAATATGCTGTGCTCTTGAACTTCCATGTCTCTTCTTGTTGCTGCACATGAGTATCTCCAAAAACAATGCATAACATTCGCTGGGAGTAGTGGCACACATCCATAATATAATTTAATATAATTTGAGGGGTAACGATCAGCCTTAGCTACATAAGGAGTTTGAGGCCAGCCTGGGCTAAGTGAAACCTTGATTCAAAACACCAACAAAAACTGGTTGGAAATGTACCTCTATTGATAGAGTGTTTGCTTAGCACAGGCAAAGTCCTGGGTTCAATTCTCCAGCATGACATAAAAATTGAGTATGGTTGTACACACGTGTAATTGAAGCAGAACTCAGGAGATAGAGGCAAGATGATCAGAAGCTCAAGGTCATTCTTGGCTGCATTGTGTGTTGGAGGACAACCTGGAATACATGACATCCTGTGGTGGTTTGAATGACAATGCCCCCCAAAGGCTCATATATTTGCATGCTTAGTCCCCAGTTGATAAACTGTTTGGAAGGATTAAGAGGTGTAGCCTTCAGTACCCAGAGGCTGGACAGCCTGGAGACCTAAGGTAGAACCAAAGATGACTGGCAAAAAAAAATCAATGAAATGATATCTAATGATATTCTGCTATACTTGTTGCCTAGCCCAATTATCATCAGAGAGGCTTCACCCAGCAACTGATGGAAACACATGCAGAGACATATCACCAAACATTAGGCAGACCTTGGGAAATCCTGTGGAAGAGGGGGAGGAAGGATTGTAGGAGCCAGAGGGATCAAGGATATCGCAAGAAAACCCACAGAATCAACTAAACTGGCTCACAGGGGCTCACAGAGACTGAAACAACCAGGGAATCTGCCTGGGACTGACCGAGTCCCTCTGCCTATGTGTTACAGTTGTGTAGGTTGCTCTTCTTCTGAGAGTCCTAACAGTGGGAGCAGGGGCTGCCTCAGACTGTTACTTGCTTTTGGGACCCTTTCCTCCTACTGGGTTAGCTTGTCTAGCCTTAAGAGGAGAGGAGGTGCCTAGTCTTACTGCAACTTGATATACCATGGCTAGCAGATATACACGGGAGGCCTGGCCTTTTCTGAAGAGAAAGGAGGAGGAGTGGATGGGGGTGGGTGCTGAGGGAGAAAACTGGGAGGAGAGGAAGGAGGGAGGGAAAGCTGATTGGGCTGGGGATAAATAAATAAGTAAGAAAGAAAGAAGTTGTAAACCATTAGCTTCATGGGGAGGGGGGCTTTTTGGGGAAGGTGTGTCACTGGGAGTGGGCTTTGAAGTTTCAAAAGCCCACAGACCCAATGTCTCTCTCTCTCTGCATGCTGCCTGCAGATCAGATGGAAAGCTCTCAGCTACTGCTCCAACACCCTGCCTTCCTTTGTGCCACCACACTCCCCATCACGATAATGATAACCCTTTGACACTGTAAGCCAGCCCCCAATTAAATCCTTTTTTTATGAGTAGCCTTGCTCACGGTATCTCTTCACAGCAAATAGAACACTAAGACAGACCCTACCTCAAAAATATACACAAACAAGCTGGGCGGTGGTGGCGCACGCCTTTAATCCCAGCACTCGGGAGGCAGAGGCAGGCGGATCTCTGTGAGTTCGAGGCCAGCCTGGTCTCCAAAGCGAGTTCCAGGAAAGGCGCAAAGCTACACAGAGAAACCCTGTCTCGAAAAACCAAAAAAAAATATATATATATATATATACACAAACAACATTTTACATAAGTTTTAACAACTGTCTTCTTTTGAGAAGCAGTCTGTTTTAGGAGCATTTAGAATTGAGAAAAATTTTAACTACCTGTTGACCTGATTATTATTTTGCAAGTCAGACCACACATGCTAATTTCCTTGTCTTCCGACCATCAGAGTATTCAAAATACAGCATAAATTGTTGGGCAACCACCAAAGGACAACCAGAATTGAAAGGTTCATGGATTAGAGATGAGTGAATATAGTTAGCTCCAATATCCACTTTATTATAGTACATAGTGGATTACTATAGGCTTCTGGTGCTGTCTTCACCCACAATACTCAGCACAATCACAAGTATTCAACCCCTACTTTGAGAGTTTCTTAACCCCTCTGGGTACCTCTACTGAACAATTCTTCTATAGGTAAAAGATAAATGGTGTTATTGCTCCTAGAGATAACCATATTTTCCTTTTTTAATTTTTTAAAAATTATTTTTTAAATTATGTGTATTTCCACGTGGGTGAGTGTGGGTTTGTACATATAAGTGCAGTGTCCATGGAGGTCAGAAGAGGGCACTGGATCCGCTGAACCTATAACTATATGCAGTTATGAGCAGTCTGACATGGATACTAGGAATCAAACTCAAGTCTTCTGCAAGAGCAGTATGTGCTTGTGGATACTGAGCCATTTCTCCTGCCCTGGACATAACCACATTATCAAAGGACATTCTAGGGTTGGGTATTTAGCTCAGTGGTAGAGTGCTTGACCCTGGGTTTGATCCTCAGCTCAAAAAAAATAATCAAAGGACATTCTAGAAGTGTCAAAGTCTAGAAACCCCAACTATCCTATAATCACTACACAACTTTGTCTACTTTGTGTGTGTATAATGTGTGTGTGTGTGTGTGTGTGTGTGTGTGTGTGTGTGTGTGTGTGTGTGTGTCTATGATTACACTTGTGGAGGCCAGAGGTTGATATCATGTTCCAACTCCCTTTTTTGAGACAGGGTCTCTCACGGTTGGCTGGTCAGGAAAGCCCCCAAGACCCCCATCTCTACTTTCTAGCACTGCAAGAACAGCTGTGTGCCACTATGACCTGTTATTTGTATATGAATGCTGGAGTTCCAAACTCAGGTACTTGTACATGTGCAATAAGTACTTTGTCCACTTAGCAATCTCCCTAGCCCCTGATTTTGCTTTGTAAAAAGTCCAAGGAGTTAGGCGCATTCAAAACTAGGCAAATATGGGTAATCCCAAAGGAATATGACAAGCTATAGTTCAATCTGCCTCAGAGGAGGCGGCCATCTATGTTCTTGCTCAGAATACAAACACTGCTTTCCCTGATGATGATACATCCTTGGGCTCCAATGCAGCAACATGCCAAACCTGGACGTCTCTGAAACTTCATCCTTAAAAGCCTGCAGTCTCCTAGTCTTATCGAGTGAAGAGGAGTACCAGCTCACAGTGTGGGGTGTGGGGAAACAAATCCACAGGTACAGCTTGTCTCAGGACAAAAGGTTCACCGAGGAGCTTCTTAGCAGAATTTGGAGGACAGCATAGCCTGCAGAAATAGACCATAACATCAGTTCACAGAAACAAAGAGAGGAAACTACCAGAACTCGGCTGCTTAAAATTGAAGTCCTTCCTCTGTAGTCGAACAGGCCAGCCCAGGTGTCTCTCATCTCCACTGCTCATTATTTTCATGTAACTGTTTTGCTTATCCATCTTCCTCACTGGAGTACAAATGTTCAACTTACAGTGAGGTTATGGCCCAACACAACCATCATAAGCCATAAACATTAAATCACAATGTGTCTAAAGGACTGCAAACATGCTTTGGTTGACAAGGCTTCTGAGTTCAATGCCCAGAATCCATGTAAAAATGTAAAGTGTGTTGGCATATGCTTGTAATCCAGTTCTAGGGATGCAAAACCAGGCAGATCCCTGGGGCTCAGTGCCAGCCAGCCTAGCCTACCAGGTGAAATCCAGGCTAGTGAGAGATTCTGTCTCAAAACACAAGGCAGATGGTTCCTAAGAAACAACACCTTTAGGTTGTCCTTTGGCACATGCACGCATATGCTGCACACACACACATGCACATAAAAATGCATTCAATTAGCTGGGGATAAATCTCAGTCTCTGATTTAGAGCACATGATTAGCATGTACAAATTTCTGGATTTGAACCCCAGTGCATGTGCACACACATACACACACACTATATATATAATTTATATAGGTATAATATATGTTATCAAACATCATGGATTACATTCATAAAACCCTAAGACATGTGCCCACCATTAAACTCTTCTAAAAAGGTTGTATCAATTTATACCCATTCTTTTGTACTTCTGCACTCAGACTTTTTCTGCCATATGTACATAGTATCTTATTGAATTAAAACTGTCTTGCCTTTTTGAGGCCATGTTTAGAAATTTTCTCAGTGTGCTAGCTTAATTCTAGGTTTCATTTTAACCACTGCATTTTAAAATTCATTGTTATTATATATAATGTATAATATAATGAATACTTTCATCTGAGTCAAATGAAATAGCATTAAAAGGTACACAAGGTAATTAATTTACTTTCCCATCTCTCGTATGTCCCCAGTTCTTTCTTTCTAAAATACTTTTTAGATTTATTTAATTTTTATGTGTATGAGTGACTTGCTTGTATGTATGTATGTGCACCACATGCATGCCTGGTGCCCGAGGGGGGCAGAAGAGGGAATCAGATCCCCAGAAATTGGAGTTGCTCATGGTTATGAACCAGTATGTGGGCACTGGAAACCAAACCCAAGTCCCTCTGTAAGAGCATCAAGTACTCTCAACCCCTTAGCCAGCTCTACAGCCCTCTCCCCAGTTCTTTCTAGACAGAGAAAATTGTTACTGGGGTCTATTTCCGAAGGGGGTCCTTCCGTTAAGTAATTTTTAAAGGTAACATACAAAGTGGTATTTTATACATATATATCATATATCATTTACTTTCCTCCTCCTCTACCCTACCCTGTGCTTCCTGCCTTTCTGACTCAGTTCCTTCCTTCCCCCAGGGAGTCCCCTCTTCTGCTTATCACAGTCCCTTAAGATTGTCTTGCTGTTTTATGACCTATACAGAAACACACACATTTGTGCACAAATATTTATAATGCCAGGTTCCATGTACAAGAGAAAACATTTGGCATTTGTCTTCCTATGACTAGCTTATTTCGCTTAACAGAAAAATGTCCAGTTCATCAAATTTCCTGCAAATATGATTTCATTTTTCAAGATTTACTTTTTCATCATGTATATATGTGTGTGTGCACGTGCATGTGCATGTGCATGTGTGTAAGCATGCATGCGCATGCGCATGCGAAGGGTTGTCCATGGAAGCCAGAGGTGCTGGATCCTCGTGGAGCCTGAATCACAGGTGCTTGAGAGCTGCCTGATGTGGGTGCAGTGATGAGACTGGGTTCCCCTGCAAAAGCAGTACATTCCTGTAACTGCAGAGCCATGTCTCCAGCCTCAGTTTTGTTTTTCTTGTTATCAGTGTCTCATATAACTTACCAGGGGCTCTCTATGAAAATATAAGCAAACACAAATACATGTCCTTCTCATCCTTTAAATAAATCTATTATATGGACAATTCTATAGCTTACTGGTTCTACTTAGTTACAACACTATCTCAGAACTTAAATCAAAAGCCACAAAAAAACGTACTTGGCTGTTGATCCACGCATTGTAGCGCACACCTTTAATCTCAGCCCTCGGAGGCAGAGGCAGGTGGAACCCTGTGAGTTTGAAGTCAGCCTGGTCTACACAGTGGGTTCCAGGACATCTAGGACTGCTACACAGTGAGACCATGACTCTAAAAGACAGAAGGAGAAGGAGGAAGAGGAGGGTAAGAGAGAGGAGGAAGAGGAGGGACGGGAGGAGGAGGAATGGAGGATGTAGCTTAGCAGCAGTAGAATGAATGTTCACTGGCTTGTGTGAGGTCCTGCATTTGATGTCTAGCAATATTCATGAACACTAACAGAGACATACACACAGGAAGCAAAGAGAGAACAAGCAGAAAGGGAGGAATTTTTTCAATTCATATGCTTGACAAGGGACTTCTATCAGACACACAGAAGAATTGTAAAAATTCAACAGTAAAAAGTCAACCCAGTTAAAGATGGGCATAAGATCTGAACCTTGTTACCCTGTAAATATCTAAAGATTTACAACTGACTAAAAGGGAAGTAACTCCATTGGTAGGGGGCTAGTCTAGCAGGCACAAAGCCTGAGTTTCTTCCTCAGCACTTCTTAACCAGATGCGGTGGCGCATGCCAGCAATTCCAGCCCTCAGGAGACGAAGACAGATCACAAATTCAAGGTCAATCTGGGCCAGCTTTGAATACATGAGATGCTGTCTCCAAAGAAAAATTCAAAAAGATATATTTAAAAAAAAAAAAACAGAAACCACTTGGCCAAGCGGTGGTGGCACATACATGCCTTTAATCCCAGCACTTAGGAGGCAGAAGCGGGCCTGGTCTACAGAGCGAGGTCCAGGACAGGCACGGTTATAGGGAGAAACACTGTCTCGAAAAAACAAAAACAAACAAAAAAACACTTAACAATCTTTAGCCACTGGGGAAATGAAAACAAAAACCACAATGATATACTACTTTCCATGAACTGGCATTTTAAGGGGAAAAAAAAGGCATCAACCAGATCTTAGGCTATACCTCACTGGAAGAATACCTGACTAGCACAAAAGTGGTCCTGGCTTCCTTGTCAGCACCGCAAAATAGATTTTTTTAAAAAAGCCAATAACAAGACTTGGTGAAGATACAGAAGAAATAGAGAGAAAGTGGAATGCTCGTATACTACTGTTAGTACAATAGGGCAGCTGTTTGGAAAACCAACTGAGGTTCCTCAAAAGGTTAAACTAGTTACCATATGGCCCAGCAATTCCCCTCCTAGGTCTTTCTCAAAGAGAAATGAAAGGAAAAACTTGCACATGAATATTCATTGCAACATTATTATAAAAGCCATCAACCCATGAGCAGATAAGTGAAAGACAATATATACATACAATACAATATTATTCCCTTTGAAGGCCAAAAAGAAAATGAAGGACTAATAAATGTTTAAACACAGATGAACATCACATACACTATGCTAAGTGAAAGAAGATGCAAAGAACCACAGAATATATGACACAATTCAGTTCAATGAGATGCCAGGTAAATCTATAGATAGAAGACACGTTACAGGTTGCCTACGGTCAGACAGGAGGGGTGGAGCTAGGCAGAGATGCTAAAAGGTACAGTGTTTTTTCAGAAGACAAAAATAGTCTGGATTTAGATGGTGATGATGGCTGAAAACGAACCAAGCAAAACTCACTGAACTGTATACTTAAAGAAAAGATGGCCAGGAAGTGGTGGTGCACGCTTTTCCAGCACTCAGGACGCAAAAACAGGTGGATCTCTGTGAGTTCGAGGACAGCCAGGGCTGTTACACAGAGAAACACTGTCTCGGAAAAGAAGAGAGATTTATTTTGGTTTATGTATATGGGTGTTTTGCCTGCATGTATGTATATCAGAGGGGATGGAGGACACCAGGAGAACAAGGCCCTCTGAATCAACTAAGCAAGGTGCATGTGAACTCACAGACTGAAGCAGCAAGCACAGGGCCTACATGGGTCTGCACCAGGTCCTTTGAGTATATGTTATAGCTATTAGCTTAGTATTTTTTATGGAGCTCTTCACTGTGAGATCGAATGGGTCGCTGAGTCCTGCACCTGCTCTTCAGACTTTTCCTTCTCTTATGGATAGATCATAATTTATCTAGTTCTCTTCTGATGACTTTTGGAATATTTTCTCTTTTGATGTTAAAATAATTACAGTAACCAATTTTATGTCATTTTACGTTTGGAAGTGACCTGCAGGATAAAAATCTGTGGAATGGGAGCTGAAAAGATGGCAGAGTGATTAAGAAAACTGGCTGCTCTTCCAGAGGACCCAGGTCCAATTCACAGCACCTACTGTGCAGCTCACAACCGTCTCCAACTCCAGTTCTAGATCTGATGCCCTTTTCTGCCCTCTGTGAGACCAGGCAAGTGGTGTAGACATACATGCAGGCAAAACACTCATACACACAAAATCAAATGAAATATTTTTAATTAAGGCATGTAATTCTGGGTCATCAAGTATGCACATATTGATAACAGTTTTTGCTTCATCCTTTTCTTATTTTACTTTGCCATGTTTTGTTGTTATCTCTTATAAGTCTGCTCTTTTCTAATGAGACAGGAAGGAAGTGAATCTGGATAGGAGGGGAGGAAGGGAGGAACTGGGAGGAGAGGGGAAACTATAATCAGGACATACTGGATGAGAAAAGAATCTATTTTAAATTGAAAAAGAGATTAATTTCAGTTCATGTGTATGGGTGTTTTGCCTGTATGTATGTGTCTGTGCATCATGTGTGCAGTACCCACATAGGCCAGAAGAGGGCGACTGATCCTCCCGAATTGGTCTTGAAGGGTTTTGACATGTCATAATTTATATATTTTTAATCATTTAGTTTCTTTAAGCACA